GACACGTTCAAGGCCCAGAAATGTAGTAAGGACATCATTAAAATAGTCCATGTGACATTTCAACCGTAATTTTATGAAGACTGACACCAAAGAAAATAAATTGTTCAATAAAGTCGTTACTCTTGTTTTCTTTGTGCACAAAAAGTATACTCGTAGCTTCATAAAATTACGGTAGTAAAAACGTGGTAGTTGCGTTGCTGTCTAAGCAGGGTCAGAAAGATCTCGGATTTCATCAAACATATCTTAATTTGTGTTCCGAAGATGAACGAAGGTCATATGGGTTTGAAACAACATGAGGGTGAGTAATTAATGACAGAATTTACATTTTTGGGTGAACTAACCCTTTAAGTACTTCTGAGTCAGAAAAGCAATTTAGGTAGTTGCATGTAATATAAATTAAACTATGGTACCATTTGATGTTAATATGCAATTAAGTGTCCGTAAAAATTATATTCAGGTTTCACTTAAGTATATTATTTTCGTAATCTTTTCTTGAAAGTGTGTTAAAATATACTCCTCTTAAAAGTGTACTACTTTTTCACAAAGGATATGCTATGGTACTGAATGAGTACCATCATATGCCTCGTTGCTTGCCAATAAAACATGCTAATACTACAGTTGTTAAAGACAATAACAGGGCGCTCAGCATTTGAAAACACACATAAATACTCGTCTGCCAATGTGACTGGAACCAGACTTCTCTCCTCACTCTGAGATCATGTGTTTACCCACTGTGGTAACCCACCCATTTAACTTTCTGCAGCAAACCAGCTTGGAAACACACAACACAAAACCTCCGTTCTTACGCCTAGCACATGCACACACACTGCTCCCCCTTCTCCAAATTCGCATGCACACTCCACCCACGCCTAACATTCACACCGTCCTACATTACAGTCAATCCAAGCACATGCGAGTCTGACACCTCTTTCCACTCGTTTCTGCTCTTTTCATGGCGGAGTTAAGCTGCTTTGATTTGTATTACCATACAAAATCTCCATTCTTCCAAAGAAACCAATTACAAACCATGGTTGGTCTGAAAAGAATATAATCCTAATGGGATTAATTGCATACCGATTTACTCACAGCATGGCATTAAACAACACGTTTCAAAACCAAAAGGTATGCCAGCTGTGGAATTAAGGCCTTGAAAACAGTGTTTGTGTGTCTATGTGCTAAACTCAGTGAACATCCCACCAGCTAAATGTAGTTATTTAGAATTAATGGATATGCTAAATTAAAAACAGGGCCTAAATATGTTGTTTATTAACACTACAGTTTTCAAGAATATCTATCATTGCACCTAGTACAGCCTAATAGTAAAGCCACAACACCCTAATATGACTATTTTTGCACAGGCAAGCATCATTCTAGTAAAATTCCAGTTGTTACTACTTCATAATAAATTAATGTTTGCACAGTTTTATTGCACTAACAATCAATGCTAACGATGGTATTTTGGTGGAAACTGTGGTGCTGTGGGTAAGCCAAACGGCCCCGGATAACATAAGCCATCTGTGACCTCATAATTGGGCGACCGACATGCTGAAAGAATAATCTGGGCACACCCCAACATAAAAAAAAGCTTGCTTTAGTTCCTATCTTGTTTGTTTTCTCTTTTTGAACTGACCAAGGAAAGCTAATATGAATGAAACTATTGCCATTATTTGTACACAAAAATCACCGTGGCTGTGCCTTGGTACAATATGCTAATATCATGGTACTTTGACATACATCAAATTGTAGTCAATGACTGCCATATTCATCATACACAATGGTATTTGCATAGTACACTCGAAATATGGAAGTACCTTTTTTGGTGTGGCTTAAAAGAATAGGGTGTTTTGTCAAAGTTTGCATTATGCACCATAAGCATATTACACTTAGACAAATATAAATCATAGCACAAACAAGGGACAAGGATATTGGATTTCATAAAAGCCTATATGATGGAGAAAACTCCAAAAGAAGTGTAAATGTGTATGCCAGAAATCCTGTCTGAGTAAAGCGATCTGCCGCTGGCGCTGTACTGTACCACTGAGTAACCCATTATATTTGACACCTTGAAATGTGTTTTTGTTAGGTGCTGAATTGAAGTGTCACAGGCAAGAAAAATCTATTACACATCAAATAATATTGTAATTTGGGGGCACATTTAATGGCCATTACATTTGCCACATCATATTTTTATTTTATTGCTTATTCAAGGTATTTTTTTTCTCTAATTCTCATTTGCTGCATACTATCTATGGATTTACATTGTTAAATTAATACATAATAATATAGTACATAACATATAAAACAGTCTGTTCACATCAAACACAACATTCACTGTACATCAAATCAAAGAAGAACTTGAGCAGATTTCTTCTTATCTAAGGACCAGCGACTCTTATCTAAATCTTCAACATTAAAATTAAATGCAAAACAGCTCTAAGCTCAGCTAAGAAAATAACCCTAACAAAATACAATGTCAAAGATTGCGTCTCTTGTCTTTTCTCTTTTCACTTTTGTCATTCGTTTCCTGTTGAGCAAATGAGTGTTTTGAATAGTCAAATGGTGGCCAGCACAGAGCGGTAAATTTGCCAGGAAATACGGTCCTTCCATGCAAAGACTCTCCGTAGCCATGCAAATGAGCCGGAGTGAGATGACTATAGCATGTGGGAGTTGCACGGTGCAGAATTACCTGTGACTCCCCTGATATCAGACACTGTGTGCTTTACAGTGGCCACATTTGTAAGAAACAAACAAGTAGTGATTTTACGCTAGCTGCTGACACTTCCTCAGGAGTGTCCTTAAAAGTCTTCTTTCCTCAGGAATGGGGATTCACAGTCTGATATCCGACCTCCTTAACCTTTGGATCTAGAATGGATCTACAGCATGGTGGAATTGAGATGTCCATAACCTTGTTTCAACGCTGGTTACAGTCCACTGCATGAGCGTTTTGGTACACAGGTCAAAAATATGTTTTTGTACTGTTTAGCTTTTTTCTGTTGAGTATAAACTGATCCACATGCTTGCTGCAAACTGGGATTTTAAATTACATACTATATTAAGGAGGACCTGCCCATTTGTTCTTCCACAAACCACTGAAAACAACCACAAATCTGCCCTCTTTCTACTATTATCACCCCAGGCCTAGAATACAAGGCCAGAGGTGGGTGACCAGGAGATTGATGGAGTGCTCCTCCTCCTGGGATCCAGATAAAACCACACACATTCCTCTCTAGGGGACAACATGTGACTTAACTCTCAACCATTGGTTTCATTTTAAGTCTATATACAGTATCACTAGACACCTATTTTGCTGCCAACCACATTTCGAAACTCCTTCTAAGACCTTGTGCAGAAATCTGTCTGTAGGCAAAAAAGTCTTAAACTCTTTAAAGGTGTGTTGCATGGAGATGTGCAGAGATGGAAGTAACATCAATGTCTGTGAACCTACAGTGAGAAAACAAACTCCAGGAGGAAGCCAAAGGGAGCGGTTCAGAGGCGGAGGACACGCCATGGCCTCCTACTTTGGGAGGAAACAGGCTTCATTTCCTCCTCTTTATCCCATGGACAATGGCTTGCTTACGTGTTGGACCAGCAGGGAAAATAGGCTGGGCAAGGAACAAAAGGGACAGCCCACAGCCTGGTACTCTATAGATGGTTTAATTATGCATTACATAGATGGCAGAACAATTTTGTAGTTCTTTTGGGATTGAGGGAAAGGAAAACTTGTTCTAGAAGAGGATAAATAATGCCTAGAGGGAGGAACTGTGATGCTGCCACATTACCTTCCAAGTGAATGGAAAAAAGTGTCCATGGAACAGAGGGAGCCATTTGAACAAACAGAGAGGGAACACTGTGACTCACTCTGTCTGACGCCAAGGGAAGATGAGGGAAGGAGCCAAAATCCAAGCTCACAAATCACCCAATCCAAAGGACACAACAAAGGACTCCTTGTAATCAACTGATTTGTGAGTAAATAGGAAAAACATAGTGTTGGTCAATGTTTCCCCAAGTCCAAATCACATTTATATTATTTTGTAGATTCCCTTTTGGGGCAACTTTTAAAACAAGTTCTCTTCATAGCAACAGTTCAAGACATTCACCTTCACATGAATACCAGAACTAAAGCCTGAATTTCCAACTAGTGACTGCAAAGCTCTATTGGACAAAGTATGGTATAGTGATACTGAAATGCTTCCTGGAAAAGAACTCTTGCTAATGAACCATTTTAAGATGACCCTTGTTATTGCCCAGAGCATGGAAATCCGATAATCAAATCATCTCACAATCTGACTGGCTGATAAAATCTCAGATGTTAGGTACTAATGCAGGTTTGAGGTAAGTGCAGTCACGAAATGGATGGCCTGTTTTTTTTTGTACCATTACTGCAGAAATGGGTTCTGGACATTCTGTGCCAGACTAAGACATTTAAGTGAATATCATTTTTACATCAAGGGCTTCATTCAGGTAAGATGGCCCACCTGGAGGGTTTGGCATTTGGCAATTTAATCAACAATGCTTGGACTTACTAATGCATTTTTTCATTATTATTATTCTTACGACCTTCCATGAGCTTACATATCAGTGCCTTCATTGGCAACATACACATCAGTGTGGGATTTTTCTGTGGAGAACTGCTTACACTGAGATAAGAGTTGCCATACTTTACCACTGCATGTTCTGCATGCATTGCATATTTCTGTGGTCACTGTGCATGTGAGCTAAGTAAGAAATATTTGTGTCATGCACGGTGTGAATTGGACACCCTTTTCTCTAATGAAATCATCAAAAAAAAAAAATACAATTAAGAATCTTGAAAATCATTTTAGCAGACCTGAAGGTAAACCACTAAATTTTCAATATAAACTGCTGTAGATCCAAACATATACTCTGCAGAACTTAATACACAAATTCTGAGGGCAAACATGCTATTTCAAAACTTGTGCAAAAGTGCTAGTGCATACAGAATCAAGGCTGTACGTAACAACGTACTGGGTGGTGCTTACCTTCTGATCCACAATTGAGCAAGAAATTTGTTTGATGTAGGCCAGGTCTGCAGTCTGGGGTAGAAGCACAGATTCTCTAGTAAGCCCAATCTGTATCATGAAGGAGACACCGGCTGGTGCCGGAGGCCCAGACGTTATTCCAGATGCCCCCCCGGGACCCGGTGCAACCCCCATGTCCACTGTAGGAATCCCTGGGGTTTGAGAGTTATGGATAGAAACCAGTGTCCCCTGCTGCATCACCACTGACCCAGGTGGAGATGGACCCCCCGGGGGGAAGAAGACCTGGGACATAGGTCCTGGAGACATGAAGGGACTGACGTTGGCCATGCCGAAGAGTCTTAGACAGTCAAGAGATAAGACTGGGTAGTGTGAGGCAGCAAACTCACCTACACACACCAGCAGTCACTCACTCATCAAGAGTGGCCGTCCTTGCTGTGTGTCCCCTGTCTACTAGAGCTTAAAAACAACTGATCCCTTTCCAGGAAGTGGCTCTTCTTTCTTCTCGCCCTTCCTTTCACGGAAAGCTCCTCTATACAGCTTTCATTCCAGAGAAGGAGCAAGTGAGAAATACAGATAAAGTTTAGCTTTGAAACTAAACGTCCTCTCCTCCTCCTCCTCCTCCTCTTGCTGCTTCCTGTTCCCTCACTACTCCAAAGCAACTTTGAAGAGGAAAACGTCCAAACTTCGAGGAAACACACTGGAGACAAAAAAGAAACTGTAACAAATGAGATAAGCAAACAAACACCTATAGCAGTAAGTCCGTCAACTCAAGATGGCCTCCAAGTACAGGAAATAAGCTGGAGAGAGCTCCTGGTTAGGCTTGCTTTGCAAGTCAGACTGTGTTTCAGTTTCTTGTCATGTTGAGCCGTGTCTGCTGTGCCTCAGTGAGAAAACTACTGAGGACACTCCCTCTTCCCCCTGCCTCCACCTCCCTACTGTCTGAACCTCGCAGAGCCCTGGAGGAAGTGGTGTGATTGACAGATCTCTCAGCCAATCAGCAGGAGAGAGAGCTGTAAAAGAGAGGCTCTGTGAGAGCATGCATATCCACTTCGGTCTCCTCCCAGTCCCACATACAAATTCTTCCCTCCCTCTCAACTTTCAAGTCTTTCTCTTTGTGTAACAGTTTGCCTTGTTTACTCCCCCACCCTGGAACAAATTTGTCCTCCTCTTTTTTTGCCTGGGGCCCCACTTGCACTCTTTTCCCAATCACTCATTCTTACTCACTCTCTTTCCCCAGTCCCCTTTTCCGCATGTCCCAAATGATAGCCAAATACCTGATTTGTGTGGCATAAACATGGCTAAATTAACAACCCACGTGCAATCCTAAAGCCAGAATAATTTTAAATAAGATAAGGAGTTCTGCATTGTTTCCCTTTGAGTTGATGAAGGGAGTGTCAGTTCACTAATAACAGACAACATTGCATTAATCAAAAAACGTTGAGACCTAAAAAAAAAAAAGTGTTTGCTAGTTTATCAAAATAAGCTGTTGTGAAAAGCAACATTACATTTTATCTTTTTACAAAAATAAATAAATAAACAAATTTTAAAAAGTAAATATTCTTGTTTAACGGTTTCAGGTTTTTGAAAATAATCAGTCACATCCATGAATTCTCTCTCTACCTGCTGTTGCTAGTTGGTGACAGGTTTTGTGAGTAGGGAATTTTCACATTCAAGTGCCTTTTTTAAAGCTACTTTGTGCAAAATGAGTTCTTACAACTTATTAATATTTAATAGTTAATAAAACTTTTTTTTCTGAAAAGACTGCATTTTCTGCGAAACATGTCAAATTTAGCATATAGGTATTGATTACATTTAAATGTGAGTGCTGTTGTGTTAAAGTGTATTTCAGACTTACAAATGTTTGTATATTTGTAATAACGAGTTGTTTTTGCAGCTTAGTTTCAATAAATGGTAATTCTGAACTGAGTTCTGACTTACAATACTTACAGTATGTTTACATAATTCAACACTTCTTTTCTTTAGATAGATAGATAGACAGACAGGCAGACAGACAGACAATGTGGTCAGTATTAGTTAGTTTAACATTCTGTACACCCAAAGGCACTTTCAGAGACAGCAGAGTTCAGACCAGACAAGGATGAAATGTCTGTACAAAACCATGTTTTTATTTAGTTGTTTTTGGATTTTTTTTATGACATACAACACAAGACCTGCAGAGTAAACAAAATAAAAACAAATTTAAAAAAAAGAAAGAAAGATGTATTTCCATACAAGCTAGAAAGCAGTTCAAAAATATGTATAATAAAACAAAATAAATAAAAGGCTGGTCTTTTTTATCCCTTGTAGTTAGAGGATATAGTTTGAATACAGCTTAATATGATGTACAAAATATCACACAGTGATAAATTGCTTTTAAAAAATAAAAACACTTAACAAAAAGTCATTTTACCTTGGCTGTGGACTGAAACTTTTTCCTTTAAATTTTCATACAATTTTCAGTTGTTCAGGCTTTTGCACAAGCAAGTCTTAAGCCTAGCAAAAAAGGTACTACGGTCGTCTTACACTTTATTACTAGTAATCATAATAATATGTCTAAGTAAAGAAAAGCAAATAAGTGAGAAAATGGGAAAGTTACATTTTGCATTGGCAGCTTTTCAAACAAACATTTTCGGTTTCTTTAAATTTTTACTTTTATTTTTATTTATACACAGATTCGTCCGCTCTCGTTAAGGAATGTGTTTTGTTGTTGTAATTTCAAGACTCGTATTGCATCGAGGGGTGCGTAAATAGAGGTGTACAAAAGAGACAGCAGGACTCGTCTAAACACCCATGCAATCGGCAGTCTTTGGAAGAGAACGTAACGATGCAGCAATACATGGATGAACCGAACCGTTCGCGTGATCCTACACGTGTAGTGTAGCATAAAGCGAACCGTTAGTGTGCCGTGCGAAGCTACTAGGTAAGAGGTAAGCAGCAAAGGATTATGGATTCCACTGAACGCAAGTCTGTGGTTATGTGACATTCACTGACTAGGCGAATAGCCCAAAATGAATCGGTGGTGACACGAGACATAACCTTGTACATTAAAAAAAATAAAAAAAATCACTCCAACAGGTTTTCCTTGCCAAAAATCACACCCCCCAAATAGGAAACCTTGTTTTCCGAGTTGGATGGATGGAGGCAGTCTGGTTAAGAACCGACTTGGCTCCATTATGCAAGAGCGCTCTTTATGGCCCATCAGTCTTTTTGTCGCTTCTGGGCACTTGTCTATGACCATGGAAAACCAGTAAAGGATAAAAATAAACCCCGCAAAATGGAAACTGGCTAATCCAAGATGTGACCTTTGATCTCCAGACCTCTCCCTCCGACAAAGAAACCTAAAGATCAGATTCAGGTCTGATTCTTCATCTCACCTTGGTTTCCCCCATCAGGTTTCAGAGTTAAATCTTGGATTCCTTGCTTAGCCAATAAGAAGCAAGGTGCCCCATTTTTATTTTCACTTAAAGAGCTCTTTTCTCTGGGCTATTTTACTCTGAAACACCTTGCATTGACTAACAGCACAAAACCCATCGAGAGGACTTTTTGAATTTGTCCAAGTTTCACCACTGGGCTTTGAACTCTTTGTAAGCCAAATGAAAACTGGGCGGCACTAGTTTCTCATCACTTAAAATGTCCTTTCGAGCTTTGCTTCGTTCTCCACTTTTGGGTCGAGATCACAGATGTCTAAAAACTCAGAAATCAACAATACACTTTGCACTGAAACACTGGAACTTGTAGTTGGTTGAAATTTTTTTATTGGCGACAATCCCCAACCAAAGAACCTCCAGCGTGGATATAGAGTTTATCGTCTTAAAAATACCCTGACAAAACCTTAAAAGTCACTTGGGCACACCAGAAGTACTTTGAAATTCCCGACACACTTGCTGTATTTCTGAAATGCCAAAGAACCGTACGTGATGACTCTGAGGAATGGCAGGCATCAACCGAGATTTGATACTTTACGACCCTCGTCGTGAACAGGTCCCTGATTCAGAGGAGATCTTAGCACCAAGGTTGTGAAACAAGTGTGCTATGTACAGCGCATCCCGCATATATACAAAAATCAGTTACGCATCCAACTGCAGATCTTCCCAGAGTCTTCCGACCGATACCGAACACTACAATAAATACACTACTCAACAGTCACCTGACTATTACGGATAACGCCACCTGATTGGATATGAATGAAGACGGCGATTGCAAAATGCTTGTGCTAGCACCGTCACAAACGCACACACGCAGATACATGTGTTTGGTTTTAGTTCAAAGTGTACTCGTCATACGAATGAAATGTGTTGAACTGATTATGAAAGGCTGAAATACTAAGGCTCTTAGCTGTGAGGCTAAAGGTAAAGCTGTGTTGTACTTGCAGCTAAAACCCAACCAAAAAAAAAAAAAAACTAATCTAAAGCAGTATTTGGAATGAAATGCATTGATCGCCTCACGTTACCATGCAACAGTTACGCGAGGACATTAATTCACAGATTAGCACTAATGCAATTTGCATTGAGAAAATGTTCAGGCTTGGGTAATGTATTGTTTACCAAGAGCCTTCAAATCCTCAACGTAAACCGAGCATGAAATTAAAATCCAGGGTGTGTGTTGTGTTAAGGTGTGTTTGTGTGGGTCCATCCGTCAACAGATTGGACATCCCTCGCAACACACTGTGCAGGTTATTAGTAGTGTCGTCTAAAACTGAAATTAGGACATGAGCAGCAAACTCAGTATTAAAAGCAGTAGAGTTTGTATCACATCAAAAATGATGGGTTATTGGGTCGTGTGCCTTTAACACAGTTGTTAAACTTTGTTCCCCTCGTTTAGTGAGCGAGTGTGTGTGAGTGTGTGTGTGCGGATATTCGGCATTTCACTCTTTTGGCCCAGTAGTGAGGGTGGATACCCTGAGAAGAGAAAAAAAGCAAAAATTAGCTCAAGGCAGAAGGCATCACGTGTGAACATACATGCACAACTACGACTACTAACAAGGTGCTGCAAGCGATTTTAGCCTTTTTGCTGACTTGCGCCAGACATTAAAGACTGAACTAGACCATAAGGACAACTTTTTCACTGCTGAATCTCCAGTGACATGGAAAAAGTTGATACTGTGTGTTGAGTACTGTGAGTGAATTGAATCTGAAGAGATAGAGAGATTGTGTAATGTAAAATTACAGCAAGAAAATGCTGAGTTGACCCCATGGCTGCAGACAGAAACATACATGACTAACAGCGTAGTTCGATTCACAAACAAGTGACTATTTTGGGCCATTCTTTTAATTAAAGGGGATATAAAATGCATTTTTAAATTTATTTTGTTGGCGCCGATAGCCTTGTGGCAGTGCCACATGCAGCACCACTGCACTAAGGGCGTCCCGAGTTCGAATCCCATGTTTCAGAAGAGTAGGAAAGACTAATAATTTGAACAAGAACATTTTGATTCTCCAATTCATGACATAAACTCGAAAGCTGCGGGAATGAGTAAAACTATGTGATATATGCGCAATTCCGCACCGAAATTCAAGACCTGATTAAACATATTCTGTTATACAGAGATTTGTAAAATAAATGTCCGTGACTTTTCCAAAACTTTTCCAGGCCTGGAAATTTCGGTTTTAAAATTCCATGACTTTTCCAGGTTTTTCATGATCGTACGAACCCTGGATAGTTCACACAAAATGAAAATTCTGCACAAAACGTATTCTCGTAACTTCATAAAATTGGACAATAGTCCATCACATGGACTATTTAAACGATGTCCTTACTACCTTTCTGGGTCTTGAACGTTTCAGTTGCGCTGCTGTCTATGCAGGATCAGAAAGCTCTTGGATTTAATAAAAAATATCTTAATTTGTGTTCCGAAGATGAACGAAGGTCT